TCGACTCTAACACAGTTTGTACACCAGCCTAAAGCAGCTAAACCCTAAATCCTACCACTCTTCCCCCCCAGGTTTCCACCCCCCAGGTGCCATGCCTCATCATGGTCTCCCACCTCACTCCAAAGGTGGAGTTGAAGACCCCTCTATGGACCCAGCAGGTCTGGGCAACAGGAACAGCGACGAATTCCCGGATGGCCACAACATCTTCAACAACCAGATGGGACCTATGGGTCAGTCTGTCTTTCTCTTAGAGCTGTTAACGGAAAGTTATTTGGGTCTCTCGTTCAGCCCTGCCTATTTTAAAACTAACATGCGCTCCCTCCTGCCTTATATTTGACATTTACATTTGTTGTATCGTTTCCCTATCAGGTGGACCTCCAGGGGTTCTTCCAGGAATCATCCAACCCCCTTCTGGTGGTCTGCTAGGCGCACGGCCCGGTATAATGCCACTGCAGCGTCCTCCGGTTCCCACTCCACCACACATGCAGCGGTTCCCTCCACCCCACGGCCAGCGACCCCCTCACCCCAACATGCCACATATGCCCCCACAGATGATGCCTCGAGGTCCACACCCTCAAATGATGCACCCTGACGCCCCTCCCCTTAAAGGTGGCTTTGGGATGCTTCTTCCCCATAATATGAGGCCCCCGTTCCCTCCACACGGGCACGGCCCTCCTCCTCACGGCCCTCCTCCTCACGGCCCTCTTCCTCACGGCCCTCCTCCTCACGGCCCTCCTCCTTTCGCTAGACCAGGGGGACCTCGTGGCATGGAGGGGCCGGAAGAAATGGATGGGAGACAATTCAGGGGGGACAGGCCTGGATTCAGGGACAGAGAGCCAGAGAGGGACTGGGATCGGGACAGGGAGAGAGAGAGGGATCGAGGTTTTGGAGGTGGAAGGCGTCCCTTTGGTGATGGAGGGAGAGGAGGAGGAGGAGGAGGAGGAGGAGGAGGAGGAGGAGATAGAATGGAAGGAAGGGACCGGCTCGGAGGCTGGCAGGAAGACGGAGCAGA